TACACTTGGATCAGTGCCATCCAGTGCCCATGCAACATCATCCCAGTTGAGCTCGGAGATCACCACTCCTTTGCGGGGCCACGCACGCTTCCAGGGAGTGCGAAACCAGGGAGTGTATCCCAGGCATCTGAACTGGCATTTCTGCATACCCTTCGATCACGCCAAGACAGCTCGAGGGCTGCACGGCTGCGGCCTGTGGGGCTTGGCCCATCATCGCGGCCATCATTTCCTGCCCATGGGGTTGAAGGGTCTGAAGTGGTCGGAATCGTCTTCAAGACACCGAGACGTCTATGTTTGTTTGATGTTTACACAAAGGTAGGCGCACGTTTCTCTGAATGATCGAACGGAAGGTGCAAGGGTTATGCCTTGGGCCTGGGCCTAAAAATCTGACTGAAAGAAACAAGGCCTTCCCATGGTCACAAATGTCTGATTCCCACGGCAGATTAAGGAACCTCTTACCTTACTCAAAGTATATAAATAAAACAATCTCTCCATTACTTCACTAACAGTCTCTGCAAGGGGACACAAGTGTTTCAACCGGACGTGTATGGTATCCAGAGACGTCCTGACTCCGTGATTCAATTTTGGACATTGTGAGTCACATTTGCCACATATGCTATCCGGAGTGTATCAAACCAGCGACAGAGAGTCCTGAAAGTTCCTGCATAGGTGAAACAACGACATAAATTATCCACCTATTTTATGGACATTGTTGCCAGTGAAGCTTCTTGGTGACTCAGTTTCAATCCGTTTTTTTTGTTCGACCAACGACGCTGTTCGACGGACTGCGCCTTCATGCCAGGCTGTTGCATCATGGCATTCATCATCTGCTCCATGCCGGGCATGGCCCTGGTGCACTTCCACAGGCGTCGGTTGGAGCCCCAAATCGAGTACCATGAAAAACATGCGAGAGACCCTGGCAGCCTGCGGGTCCCTGCGTCTTAGCATTGCAGCCAAAGCCAGTTGTCAGATTCTCTAAGATGTGCTCGCAAGGGCAATGTCCATGCTCGATGATTTGTCCAAAGAAGAGTCGCTCAAGGGTCAAGACAGGCATCGCATCAAAAAGCCTGGCCCCGCTTTACCATATCGTACTTAGTACTTGACCAATTAATTAAGTTCGAATGGCCCACAAAAACACACACGTTCTTATACAACCACTTTGACCTATGCCTTCCCCACATCAAGAAGCTACTAGGGGCTCCTGGCATCGCTACTAGTAACAAGGACGCTACTAGGGGTTCCTGGCCGTACTACTCGAGACAAGTAGCTACTAGGGGCTCCTGGCATCGCTACTAGGAACAAGGACGCTACTAGGGGCTCCTGGCCGTACTACTA